AAGCAGGGCTGGGGCTGCCCACACATCCCTGCTCCCAGGGGAGCGGTGCCAGAGGGCAGCTGTAAAGCTTTTACCACTGTGCGCTCGGAACGACCTGCATAACTCACTTGTGGCACTTAACGTGGTCGCCAGGCACTTGTGGCAATAAAAGCTTTATGGCGCTCCACGCCACTCTGTGCTCCTCGCTCCACACCGTTATAGTTATTCACTCCGCTGTGCAGAGCTAGTTCTGACTGTCTTCTAGGGCCTTTGCAATTCTTTTCCACAGGCCTTTTATTATCTGATGGCCAGAGCAAATGAGGAATCCAGCAAGCAAGGCCGGGTGTAAATCTCCGGCAGCCGTGCTGCAGGCGGGATGAAGATGTCAGTGGGTTGGCATGCCGCGGGCTCGCACCGCGCTTCCACCCACTTGCCTTCCCCAGCCTGTCACAGGCCACGAACCAGGGCAGTAAATTTCATACCGGAGCAGCTCACTAGCAGTTGGCACAGCAGAATATACAGACTGAACTTCAGCATCCTGCACCCTCTTACGGCACCTCCCAGCGACTGACAAAAAGTGCAGCCTGTTATTTAACCTCACAAGCCCACATCCCTGTAGAAGCTCTCTCCTGCCTGTCCCATTCATCCCAGGAGAGGACCAGCATTTACTCAAATCCTGCCTTTTTTTCACGCCCTGGGGCTCCCACTTAGATGGGGATTTTGGATAGGATGAGGAAAGGAGGGCTGGCCGCGCCCTGCGCTGCAGACCCAGGGGGAGAGAAGTCCTCCCCACACCACTCCTCGACAGGTTATCCGCAGGCTACGCTTCCCTTTGCAAAGCCTTGGAGGAGAGCATTAGCTAATCAAGTGGTAGCATCTGTAATCAGCTTGATGCCCTCTCTTGCTAACCTGATTCCTAATAAGAAAATGGGGGAGGGGAGAGGGGAGATCAGAGTAAAATCCAGTTCATAAATACTCTGCTGGGTTAGACCACGAAAGACAATTGGCCAGCTCCGTCCCCAGCGCAGCCGTGTTTGTCTAAATGATTTACTGCAAACACCGCGCTGGCGACGGAGAGAGACAACCCGACAACTCTGAGGACGGGAGATAGGGGAGCACCGCGCGCTCCCAGCACAATCTCGGCGAGTCACTGGGAGGGAATGCATCCGCCTCAATTCATTAGGACTGATAGCTCCCTCAATGGGGCTGAATAATTGATGGCCTGGAGAAGCTTTTAAGATGTTCTGTGCGCTCGGAAGACCGAGAGTATTATTTTTTTAAAAGCTAACACACACAGAAAAACATCGGTGAAGGTGATCCGAGCAAAGGTTAGATGGTTTAATACGTTATGTTTACACCGTAAATCCTTGCTCCATCACTTGTAACGGGAAATGGATACGGCGTGGCTCAGGGCGGCGGCGGGCGCGCAGGCAGGACCAGGTAGCCGTTCCCCAGGGCCGCTGGGTGGGAGCCGAGCTCCCGTCAGCGCAGTGTCTGCGGAGCACGGCCACTGCTGGGCCACCAAGTCCCATGAGTGGCGCTTCTCTGCCTCCGTCCCGCAGCAGAGACATCCCCAACACCACCAGAGATGAGCTCTCCACCCGACCCAGGGCGAGCCTCTCCACCCGCTTACCTTTCACCGTGACGTGGACGCTCTGGCTGATGGAGAGCTGGGGCTGGATCAGCACGCTGCACAGATACTCTCCTTCATCCATGCCTTTCTGGACATCCATCAGCTTAAGGGTCCCATTCTCAAAGACCACTTGGCGGTGGTTATCGGGCAGCAGCAAAGAGTCCTTGTACCACTTGATGGAGTAATACGGGTACCCGATCACCCTGCAGTTGATGAAAGTGTCCCTACCCGCTACCGCTGTTATGTTCTTCATCGCTCGGATGCTCGGGGGACCTACATATCGGGGAGGAAGGAAGAGGCAGGCTAGGTTAATTCCGAAAGGCAGTTTGTTTGCAGGCAGATCTGCTGCTATTTCAGAGCGAGCTTCACAGGCAAAGGAGGTAACCAGAACAGCAGGGGACCCTGTCTGGCTGTGGCTGAGGAGCAGGCACGGGCTCCTCTCTGACCGCCTTTGGGAAAGCCACTCATCGGCTGCAGCCTCCAGCTAGAGCCACTCACAGGTGCCTGTGACAGCGCAGCTACCAACAGGGGCTGTGGACCTCCATCACGGCCACGCACCAGAAAATCCCACCCCAGGTTCACAGGCGCAAGCTCGGCGCTGGGGAAGCTGGGCCCAGAGGCACCGCTGCTGGTCATCGGAGGAGGGAGACAGTGTCTGGGAGCATCTCTGCAAGGGGAACCGTGGCCGTCCGGCACACCTGCACCACGGCTCTGCCAGCAGCGCCCGTGGCTGCAGGAACTGCAGGAGAGCTGGGGAGCGCGCCCCGCTCACGGCTGCTCGCTGCCTCTCCTCGAAGGAAGCTGCCTGTGCTGTGCCAAGTGGGCTCGACAGGAGCTGCTCTGAGAACCTCACTTCCATCGGTGAACACATTTCATCTCCTGAGCCTCCCGTTGGCAACCTGAGCATCGCTGCAGAGAGTCACCACTTTCTGGCTTGCTCCTGTGCTGGCTTAGGGACTGGGAGAACGCTGCAGGTGAGTATCCCAACAAGAGGTTTCACGCATCAACAATTAGTTGTTCTCTCAGCCACTGCACAAACCAGCCAACTAATCTAAATATTAACCCTATCTTGACTCCTCATCCTAAGTGCATAGCAGGGTAACAGCTGAACAGATGCTCAGGATAAGCTGATGGATAGTGTTTCTCATACTGGGACACATTTTAAAAAGCAGCAGGAAAAAATAAATTAGCATCTCATTCTGTAACTGTCTCTTGGGCCTGAGGGACTTGCTCCATTCCAGGGCACCAAACGCCTGGGATCTCACCTAGCGACAGCCCGTCAAGAGCTGAGAGAGGGGGAAAAGGGAGACAAGGGAACACCCCCATTGAAAATGCTGCTTCGGCTTCTCATGGCCGAGGGACAAACTTGCTCCAAATTCAGCAGTAAATGGCAAAAATTTAAGATTCTCCTGGGATTCCAGCCAAGAAGCCACTAGTTCCGTTTCAAACCTGAGACATAAACACAGCCCTTCAACCCTCTTTCTCAGCAGACAAATAAATGCTACCTCGTCTCTGTCTCGCTCGCACCTGTAAGCCTGGAAGCTTTAGTTGGTGGTTATTAACGAGCAGGGGCTTATACCATACCCTGTGCCTGAAAGCGCTCCGTGTAACGCACCGAGCCACGCGCTCCAGCCGTAATAACACAGTGATTAACACGGCCATGGGTTTTAGCAGACAAAGGAAATACAGACATGACAAATCAAAGCTCATTTTCCACAGTTTCACGTGCTGCCTCATCATCGTTTGTCATGTAGATCCCTGCGCCGTTGGGCACATTCACTGCTGGGAAACCGGGACCAGGATGCAGTTGGGAGAGCACGGAGGTCCGGGATGCTTCTGTGCTCATCACCACCTCCTCCAAGCGTGGGGTCCCTCCGGGAGGTGTTCTGCAGACCCCGACAGGGAGACCGCAGCTCTTCTGCCCGTGCAAAACAAAGCTCCAGCTGTCCGAGGCGACAGGAGAGCTTTGCACTTCATTCAAGCCCCTGCTTTAAGGAGTGGGGAGGCTCAAGCCTCGGGCAGGCGCTTGTGCGAGCAAGGCAGGATGGGGGAGCTTGGGAAACAGGGCTGGGGCAGCCAGGGAGAGCCAGGAGAGGAGAGGAGGAGCGATCGGCCAGGGAACAGAACAAAACCAAAAGCTCAGTAAAAGTCCTATTCTGATATTTAAAAGTAGACAGGCACCTCTTACGTTTATTCGCGCTTGGTATTCGGCGCTGCCCACCGAGTTCCGCGCGGTGCACCGGTACACGCCGCCGTCCTTGATCTGC